TATTCTAAACTCCAAATATGTGAATAATTAAACGCGCTGCGTGTCGATCACACGTGACTGACGTTAACGGTTGAATACCAAAAAGACCACGCTGTATTTATAAACAGTATCAAAAGCAAAACAATCATTGTCCCCTTCACACTCAAGCTCGATCGCGCGAGAGAGAGACGGGCAGACTTTTCATGATGCGCATGCGGTGCGACGTCACGCCAAGGGCTTATTCACAGACACTACACAAGCGCAACGTATAAATGTGTTGTACGTGCCAGCTTTGTTTAACTGACCACTTCTCGAGTTCCCCCGCAAACGTAAACAATGAAGTGAAACTTTAACTTCGTTGAAAGCATTGTCGCCGTTCCGTGGCCCAGTCATGCGATCGAGCATCTGTGGCGCAGCCTCGCAAAAGTCGCAACGTGGCAATTTGAACCATAGCGCCCGAGCGATACGGGATACGGTCCGTCCGATCCACCGAAGTTCGCGTTCATTCATTCGATTCGAGTAATGATTTAAAAGAACTGTGTGCCTAGTGCGAGTTCCACAAAATATTTCGAATGACTTCACCATCGCGTTAACCGAGTTAACGCCATACCTATCGACAAGTGAAGACAAGCGAGTGTGTGTTACAATCGAAGCTAACCTTTCGATTCGCGTTTACTCACCGTGAATCGCGTTCGTTCCTTCTCTTATGTTGGTAACACGTTAGCGTCGTGAAATAAACTAACCAAGTTTAGGATGACATAGTTACTTAGTCGTCTTAATATTAGAAGCTGTCTATCAAAGTTGTGGTTATTATAGCATCTTTCATATACTTTGACAGTTTGTTTGTTGTGAACTTACGATTATTGAAAATATTAAATTATAATTATAAGTAAAAAAATATGAAGACTAGTTCGTCCCAATTCGATTTGATGGTGACAATTATGGAGCAGTAAGTTGAATTTAATTTATTTAGTGTTTAGGGAACATATTAATATGTTGTTGTATATTTTGTAACTAAGTTTATTGGTTTTAGGCATGGAGATCTCAGCAAACCATCCAATAATGCAAGAGGTAGGATGGCTTGTATAAAAAACTGGGAGGAATTAGCTCAATTTTTGAATAGTGATGGTAGTGGTGATACAAAAAGTACTGAGAAATGGAAGAAGGTACGTCTAAATGATTATTTATTTTTATATATTTTGGTTTAAACTGGGTTTTGGTTCTCTAATTCTATGAAACATTGAAGTCCGTAGTCTCTGCCTACCCCTCTGGGTGACAGGCGTGAGTGTTTATGTATGTATTTGCTTCAAAAAAAAAGCCAACTTGTTTGTCTTTTTGGTTCTTGCACACAACTACTAGGTATATTGATTTTGCTGAAAGTTTCATTTATATTTTTCATATTTAAGGTTCTCAATCTTGGAACGACCCAGGGCAATCAACACAACCTCATGTTGCCAAGAAAGTCAACCAGGGCCTGCTTTGTCGGGGCAAACTACACCTTGCCGTGCAAGACCAATTCGTACTCGAGGATCACCTCGAAGACGAGTGAGGCCAGCACACACAGAGCAGGCAGCACAAGGGACTCCGGTTCTCTACACTCACCATATGAAACACAGCAGTGTTAGGCTGCTATTTTACGCTGGTATTCTGTGAGAGCGTGGTCCTTCCCCGGTCGAGCCGACCTATTCGTGCTACAACTATACTACTATTATAGCTGTAGCATGGCTCTACAAAATAATTTAGATTACTTTTCTGTTCTGTTTCAATGTTCTTGTAATTATTAAATTATTGTATTAAGTTGTAATTGTAATTATTTAATTAAATTTGTGATAAAATTTAAGGCTGGTTATAAATAAAAGAAAGATTTAAGCTTATTCAAATTTATTTATTTAATCCCTATGGTAACCTTCTTGCTAATTGATCTCTTAATATTCTACCTTGAATTAAATCAGAGGAGGGTTCTCTTTCTGTGTAACTTATTTGATCAGATTCCACCATTCTTTCAAATTGCAGACCTAAAAATAAATCATAATTAATAAGTTTACTGTTTATAAGTTAGCTTAATATATTATAGTAATTCAATTTAAAATTAAGATACCTACCTATATTTTCCTCTGTATCCTCAACACCAAAATTAATAATTATATTATGTAACACAGAGCATGCTAAAATAATGTGTGCACATTTTACGGGCTTGTAGTGCAAAACTCTATCCTTGTGCAGACATCGTCATCGATTTTTCAGCCTTGAAAATGTGTTCTCAATAACAACTTGAGCTCTCATGTGTTTTTCATTATAATTATTGGACTCAGTGTCTAAAAATGGTGTCATAAGCCATGGGCGTTGGGGATATCCAGAATCTCCTAGAGTTAAAATATACATGTTATTGTCAATAATATAGATAGAAATTATTTAGTAATGTTTTACTTAAAAATACTTCATATAACTCAAAACATCCCAATAAGTTATACTGTGAATATATTACCTAAAAGCCAGACAATTTCTCCATTTTGGTGCAAAGATTGCATGTATGTGTTTAAATTACTGTTTTCCCATATAAAGGAATCATGATTAGCACCTCCAAGCTTGGAATTCACATTTAAAATTCTATATTCATCATCACATACCTGAAAAGAAGACATTTTGTTTATTTTCTACCCCTTTTTAACCAAGGAAAAATAAAAAAACTTAATATTTACCATTTAAACATCAAGTGAATGGTAGTGCTTACAACTATAATACAAATGTTCCTCTTCTTTTGGTGGGGCAACTATTTTAAAATGACTTCCATCAATACAACCTACCACTCCAGGGATTTCATATTTTCTGTAAAAACTGAATTTTAAAATAAATATTAACTGAATCTAATGATTAATTTGCATTAGGTTGTTTAAAAATAAGCATATATTTATTATCGTTGACTAACTGCTTGTCTAGCAGCTGGAGTATCAGGGAACCGAATATATTTATTTATTATATTTTTGTGTGTCAGCGCTGGGTAACTTCTTCTATGTACACACTACACATTATTTGAGACGTGTGCTTTGTAACCCCAACTGGCATTTGGTAGGATCCAGTTGCAAAAAAGAATAGAGCAGTGAGCACCTGCAATTAAAAAGAGAACAAACTTATATTTAAACTTGCACTTGTTTTAAACTTGAGTTGCAAAAATGTGAATACTTTAATGATCGATACATACTTTATGTTCCAAGGAAACGCGTTGAGAGGACCTAAGATTTGTCAAACTCCTTAGCTCTTTACACAAAAACTTGAAGACTTTCTTGGAAATGCGATATCTATCTTTAAAGTGCCTCCCCGTGAGGTGTAACAAAGGGTTCAAAGATGCACGAGTTCTTCTTTCAACATTGGCTTTATAATAGCGCTCATCTTGTGCCTTAGCGGCTGTAAACATCCTCCATGCGAAAAAAAAACGTCCTGCCATAATTAAATATTGTTCACACAAACCGAAATAAAATTAAACCTTCAACAATCGTTCTCACTATGCTTTCTCACTGTCAAAATTTAGGTGAAAACTTTTTCGATATCGACCGCGTAAACTTTATTTATGTTAGATCAAAATTGGAACTCGCACTCGCAAAATTCTTGAAACAACCAATCACGTGCGTTTACGTTCTCGCTGTCGAATGCGAGTGAATGCTCGATGGTCGATATCGACGACGTAATAAACTCGCACTCATGAACTGTGATTCCGATTATTGCCACTAGTTGGCGCTGATTTTATTCCATACAAATTGTAGTTAACTTTCTCGCTATCGAGCGCGTAAAAAAACTCGCACTAGGCACACTGATGATTTTGTCGTTGTCAGTGCACGATGAAATGATTTTTAAAATATCGATGATTTTAACATGTGACATGATATCGGACTCTTCTCTACTACGGACTCAACTACTCGAGTATACATTTCTCCTAAACTCCTTTCTTTCTTTATACACTACATCAAGAAATGTACTATTAATTTTCAAATTTAGCCATATTGATGTTTTGATGTAAATGTAAGTTGTTATGATTACATAGGAAGAGTGAGGCTTTCCCAACACAAGTATCTTATAATTACTTTCTGGGAGGCCTCAGCAAATTAATTGTAAAAGATTTACTGAAATAAAACATTTTTGCTTTGAATATGATATAATTAGTTTTGGATATATTTATTGTTAGAAGATTGTATTGGAACATTTATGTATTTAGTGAAGGACATTTTGCACGTCTGAGGTAATAGTATTTAAGGAGTGACCGAAACACATATTTTTCATTTCATTATTAACAGTGGTAGAGGCACGCGGCAGCTTTTGCTGTCGCACGGATGGGCCGGCTCGAACCGGGGTGGTACCACGACCTCACAGAATACCAGCGTGAAGTAGAGGTTTACCTCTGCGTTTCGCTTGGTGAGTGCAGGTGGCCGGAGGCCCTTTTTACTGGAAATGAGGCATTCCATCTTAGTTCTCACGGGTGACAATCTGCATTTTGATTTGTAATAGAGGATAGATGTAGGTGTCTATGGGCCGCAGCAACCACTTACCATCAGGTGGACTGTGTGCTGGTTTGTCACCCTTATCCTATAAGAAAAAAAAAAACAGAATAGGCTTGTGTCGTCGGCATACAACGTTATGTCTCCTTTTAGGCCCATATATTTTAAGTTATTTATGTAAATTAAGAATAGCAACGGCTCTAATATGGATCCTTGTGGCACGCCGTATGTCACTGTTTTATATTTACTTTAGAACATTTCAATTCTGACTACTTGCTTTGTCAAGTAAGATTTTATCATATTATAGGGCTACACCTGTGATACCAATGTGTTTTAACTTTTTAAGGAGAAAATCGTGACTAACGGCATCGAAAGCCTTTTTTAGATCTATAAATATAACTTTTATTTTTGTGATTAGATCTATGGTTGCTGATAGGATGTTTGATTTTCGCCTAAAGCCATACTGTTTATCATATAAGAAATTATTTGATTCTAAATTCTCTAACTTGTTTTCTAATAAATTTTCTCATTTAGGTGGACACAAATATGAATTGTCTGGAGGAAGACATCCGATATGAAGTGATACAAGAGCCCAAACACGGGTCTATAGAAGTTGGCGAGGGTTTGGGTGCGTTTACCTTCACACAGCTGGACGTAGCCGCAGGAAGAGTGGCCTATAGACATAGGGAGCCCAAGACTCCCAGTGATTCTTTCAGGCGAGTTCTTGATATAGTTTGAAAGTATTAGTATTAAGTTTGTTTAATTCTTGATAATAAATGCAAAATTTAAAATTGTTAGGAAAATTTCGAATCCCCAAATAATAATTAAAATAACTATGAATTCTATTAACATTGTCAAAAATACGAAAGCACCTATCATGTAACATCAGAATGTGGCGGGGTAGGGGGAGGGGGGCATACAAAGATGAATTATTCAAAGATAAAATATTTATCTTTGAATGTACCATGTCTTTATGTGACCCAAGGGCTATCTCAACCGCTCCTCAATTTACAAATTCTCTTACAGAAAATTCTAGTTGTAAAGAAGACATTCAGTAAAACTGGTTTTAACTAGATTTTCTCCGTAACATAAGGATTTAAACCGTTGCCGAAAAACGTCATTAAGAGTCTGCGTAGTCGTGAGAGGCTGATATTTAACATCGCCGTTATATTAACGGCTGTCAATTATCAGCCGCAGATAGATATTATATCAGTTATATATTCTTGACAAACTGCCGTACAATAACTAGCCTTATTTTTATACTTTTTAACAGGTTCAAAGTGATGTGTCTAGACACGTGGGGTGAAGGTTCTTATCCGATAAAGATATTCCCTTCGAGTTACTGGGAGCCATTACGTGTGACTACAAATCAACCGCTTATCGTTGAAGAGTCAACTAGCGTCAATATAACCAAAGATGTTCTGGAGGTAAGCTATAGGGCTTTAAAGCATTTGTAGTGTGGCGATCTTCGTATAAGTCATTTCTCGTGAATCATTTCATCTATTAAAATAAATCACAGGTACATGGTGTTTTATGTGTTTTGATATGTATAGTTTTTACCAGACTACCCCAGAAGGAGGATAATGTTTTTAGAGAGTATGTATGTCTATTTCTTTGGCACGCATTGTAGCCTAAACGGCTTGATGTATTTTAATATCAAGAGGTGTCGTTAGATTCGTCTTAATTGTGGGAGTGGCGGCATAGGGTATAATTTTTTAATTTTATCGGTAATATTTTAATGCAGCCAGGTTTTTTAATTACTATTTTAACCTTTAAGCATGTGTTTTACAAGCAATTTATATCATATTATGATGTATTTTTGAAGGTCATGCATCCACAAATAGAACCTTCGAACATAGTTTACCAAGTTACCGAAGGCCCTTACTACGGTTGGCTTGAAATAACTTCAACTCCTGGCACAGTCGAGGTCGAAAACTACAATGAAGAACCAGTCCACACTAGAGTATTTGATCAGTCAATAATAAACGTCAATCGGCTAACTTACGTACAGTCTGGTGTCAACCGCACCAGAGACAAGATCAAAATGGACGTAACTAATGGAATTGTATGGCTGCGGGGCGTCGAGTTGACTGTCATTATTATCCCAGAGCACTTTTACGTGACAGCTATCAACATGACAGTTGTGGAAGGGGAAGCTGTCAGCTTGAGGCCAGATTTGTTTAGGACTGTGACAGACTACTATCGGGGAAAAGTGGTATCTTACAAAGTGATCGAGAAGCCGAAGTACGGGAAAGTTGTGATGGGTGATCAGGAGATTGGTCTGTTGCCGGTTTTGAAGCTGAACTCGGGTAATATTCAGGTGAGTTTGAACATTTGTTTATTTATATTTTATTGTTATTATTTGTTTTCTTCTTCACCGGTCCGTAGAAGTCCTCTCATGGAACATCGACAATCTCCCATTATATTTTTTTTTACAAAATTGAAGAGACTAACGAGTGTTAGTTTGTTCGTCCACTAAGTGGCTACTGCAATCTATACTTTTCAGACAGCAGTGCACTCACCTTTACTTGACCACAGAGATAGATAAGAGGGGGGGGGGGGGTCTACTCAGACGGATTACTAAAGGAGTCTTACTCGCCGGAAATGCCAGAAAGATCTCATGATTTCGGATAAATGGCGAACCATCACCACTTACTAGTATGCAAACACTGGCTTATTAACTTATAATTAAAAAAAACCGTCAGTCATAGGACTGCACGTCAAAACTGAAAACTTCTTAGCTTCACAAACTTGTAAACATTATTTTTGGATTGCTAAGAAATATTTTTAGGAAGTATTTTTTATTAGAAATGATTTTATCAACATAGTAATAAAATTTTAATTCGATGCGTTGTTTTATATATAGTATATACACATCTGTATGTATATATATATATATCTGGGCGTGAGGGTCACGCGAGTTTAATGCTTTTTCCCCGTCACAAAAGTGCCCAACGTGCCTAAAGAAGTTTTTACTTCAAAAATAACTATCTCATTTACGCCAGTGACGGAGAACAATTTGAAAAGTTCCTTTCCACAATTTGAGAGAAAACAAATCCTTTCCTCATGTCCAGCAGTCGATTTTTACGGACTGAAAAAGATCATGGAATAGATTTTTACTCCCTCTTGCTTCCAGTACGTAAACGACGGATCCGAGGAGTCGTCAGATGCGATCAGATTGGTGGCAGTGACCGAAGGTGGGAAAGAGAGCGAACCGTTCTACCTTCGATTTAACATCGCGCCTGTCAACGACGAGACGCCAATAGTGGCAGCAAATACGGGACTCTGTGTATGGGAGGGTGGTACTTTTACTTTTACCAGGAACGAACTATGTGAGTACACTAAATATTGGCTGTTTGGACTTGAATTGCGATTGTGTAACTCTGGTAATTTCGTGCCTTTTTCCAGACGTGAACGACATCGACACACCATTGGAGAACGTCACCATACGCGTGGTGGACATCGTATCGGGATATATCGCGATTAAAAGCGACCTGGACACTCCTGTTCATTACTTCACGCAGGCTGACATTGATCGGGGGCGTGTTGTGTTCGTGCATACAAGTAAGTGTAACTCTAATCATATTTCTACTTAAAGAATATTTAATTATATAATAATTATTATAATTTTTATTTTTCCGATACCGAGTCGGGTACCGTAAAATGGGGTGAATAGACACAACTTTCAACTTCTACACTGTTTTCTTACATATATTGTATATAAGCTGATAATAAAACACATTAATGTTGTGAGTCTTGTTGTAGTTTATCGAATATTAATGCTTCAAACGAGTAAAAACATGCAAATTCTTTGTATTTTAGAAAAAAAGTAGTCGGTTTCTAGACCCCGGGAATCCGGGGTGAAAAGAAACAACATAGGGGTGAATAGAGAAAAAATGCTAGGGTTGTCAAATGTGCTTTTGTTGTAGTATGTAGGTTGTGAGCTTGTGAGTCAAATGAAAGAAAATATAACTACATCAAAATTGTCATTATAAAAAAATATTACTTAATAAATCTGATATTTATACAAGTATGTAAGCACTAAACATAAATGTAAATTGACATAATATCGGGACTTGAAGCTGATAATTCGCATCACACATATTCCGTACCGCTTAGATATTTTTTTATCTCGTATACCGAGCGTCTCTGTTAAACAATAAAATACAAATATAATTAATGATATATTTACCTACTACATAGAACTAAATCATATGAGCACACAAAGTATATTTACTGCAGGAACTTCTATCTGGTGTGATGGTAAAACCTTAAGTATTTGGAATTTTAATTAATTATTAAATTATTATTATAATATATAATAATTTAAATAATTAATTTTACCTTTAATATGGTTTAAATGTTTTTGTTTTAAGTTTAGTTTCAATTGACTACTTAAATTAATATATGTAGTAAGTAAATGGTGCAAATAGTTTTTGACAACCCTAAATATCATGTTTCTTTTAACCCCTTTTACGTGTCTAATAACCCCTCATTCGTATCTATTCACCCCTTTCTTCGTTTCTATTAACCCCAAAGGCGTTTTTATTCTCCGCTCAGTCGTATCTGTTCACCTCGAATTCGAGAAAATCTACCAATATCCTGATTTTACTATTTAAAAGAATAAAATCGTTGAGTATCGTTACTCACCTTTGTGTGTTAATAAATAAATGAGAAACTTAACTCTCTAAATAAACAAATCGCACAGAAAACACTGAAGAACTCAATGTTTAACTAAAAGTTTTACACGGCATAAAAGCACTTGTACTGACACGTTTGTAATAACCGCCCTTTTCTTAACTGTCATCAAATTTTACACTAATTTAAAGGTTACCAAAATAAAGGAAAAATGTTGGCAAATAATAAACAGTAGTAATAAACAGACGTTTCCGAGCTGTAGACAAACCTAGAGACAACTTTATCAAATAACCAGACTTGTGTCTATTCACCCCGCGATTTCTATTCACCCCAATTTACGGTACATCATGCGCTCGCAAATATTTAATGATACCGAACTCGAAAGATTACGGTGTGAGGCTATTCCCTCATCGAATAAACCGGCTATAGCTAAAAATGCGGCTCCTCAGGCCACAGACCAGCAGCCACATGTGGAAGCCGCCATGGACCTTTCCGCTCTGGTTGATTCAGGTGATTATGGAATGGTTACCTATCAACTAGAGCAGATGAGGAGTAAATTGGAAGAGGCGATTGTGGAAACGCACTGTACGGCTCTCGAAAATCAACCGTGACTCCCGGGCATAACCCTAAGCAAGCGGAATCTGGATGTCGCATTGCTGGCAACCTACTTGAAAACCAGCCGGGACCTTTGTGATATGGACTCAATACTCCTCTGGGTCCTCGAGCTGTACAAGGTTGACTGTACGGTTAGAGACTTCCTCGGTCAGTGTATGGGGCAGTAAAGTACGATCCTTTGCATCCTCTGTAATTACTTCTTGGCTTCTACAGGGACTTCATTTCGTTACTTTATCCTTAGCCAACGAACAATGACAAGACCCAACAGTGCATTTACCATCGGGAGACCGTATGAAAAGAGAAGGAGCTCCACGGAAGGTTCTACAAGGTTCTTCATGAGCCTTTCGTAGACACAGTTACCTCCCTCCACTGGTTACGTTTTGATGACCTTTTCGGGGAAACCACCATCACAGACAGGACTATTCTTGCATATAAGCCTGATATTGTGCTGATGAACCCGGTGCAGTCAATGATATTTTTGGCTGACATTACCATTCCTTATGACGAGATCCTCTTAAATGCTGAAATATATAAGCTGACAAAATATCTGGACCTGGCTCACGGGGTGACCGACGTGTGGGGTGGTCTGCAGACAGAAAATATTCCTGTGGTTGTTTTGCTAACGGACTAATTCCGGACAGCCGCTCAGATGCAGAAGACGGTGCTCCTTGATACCGCCCGCATGGTCCGCCGGTTTCTATCCCCGACTCCCACGAAATGGTTTCTCTCATACTCCAAATATATAGCAACTCTAATTATAATAATTAACTTAGCGCTTTATCGCATTCAACTTGAAATTAGATATTATCATCATCATCATCATCATCATTGCAGCCCTTCACAAGTCCACTGCTGAACACAGAGTCCTGAGCCACCTGCATCTATCGACTTCCTGCATATTTTAAATAAAATAACAATTAATAATGAAGCATTTGCATATCATCATAAATATACGTGTACTTTTTGCAGATGGAACAAAAGGCAAAATGATCTTCAACGTCACTGACGGACTCCACGAGCTATCCAAAATTACTTTCCTCATATCGACCAAGTCGGTCTCCCTTAAGCTAGTCAGAAGGCACAAACTGCGCGTCTTCCCGCTAATGAGAGAACCGCTCAATAACTACTTCTTGATGTCCAAATGCTCTGATCCAACCAGAACTGTTACGTACAAAATTGTCCGAGCGCCAACTCTTGGCAGACTGGTTATGTTGAACGGCGACAATCATCATAGATCCATAAAACAGTTCACGCAAGAGGATATCAACAATACTCTAGTGTATTACGAACATACCCATCCATTCTCCGATTTATACACGAACGACTCTTTCGTGTTCACTGTTGAAGCGGCTCTTGCGAAACCGGTGACCGACCAAACGTTCGATATTGAAATTTCCGTATCCTCCGGTGGTCTTGCTAAATATGTGAATATCCCGCTGACTAAAGTTCAAGAAGGGGCGAACGTCCCTATTGTGGTGAACGTTAGCAACGTAATAGGGTATTTAGAGACTCAAGCGGGTGTCAGACAGCCACAAATAGAAGCACAGTGGTCCCAACCGGCACATGGCCGATTAAACCCATTAATGTTATCCTTGACTCAAGTACAATTGGAAACGGGCCTTGTGAATTACGAGCACGACGGCTCCGACACTTTAGAAGATAAAATAGACATGTCCTTGTACCTTCTGCCAGACTACGTGCTCCTCTGTAACGTCACTATACCAATTACAATTGTGCCCGTCAACGACCAACCGTTTAGGCTACTAACAGACTCGCCCCAGATACAAGTGGTCCAAGGCGAGAACTACACTATCACTCAGAAGGATTTGCTGACAGAGGACGCAGATACTGCACCAATAGGTATATTGTACGATATCATAAGTGGCCCAACGCAAGGACGAATCGTTATGCTCGATAAAAACCAGAGCATGGACGACGCGCATTCTATAAACAAATTCACGCAAGAGGACATAAACAACGGGAGAGTTGTTTACGAACATTCTGGAATGCTACAGACGGCCACGTTCTATTTCAGAGTGTGGGACGGGCAATTTAAGCCCACTTACACTGTTTTCACCATAGACGTCGTACCGGTGATTCTAAACGCCACCTCCCTCCATCCGATCTACCTTCAACAGGGCTCCAATGTAGCGACAGTGACCACAGATCAGATACACGTGGAGACCAACGCGAAAAAGTCCAAAGTGTGGTACAACATCACACGTCAGCCGCTCCACGGAATGATTTACGTTGGACGGAGCCCCGTTACGTATTTTTCCCATAAAGACCTGATGGATAAGGTCGTTATATACATGCAGAATGATATGACCACGGCCAACGACAGTTTCGAACTAATAGCGTACGCGCACAATAGTAATTCTACTCTACCGTTTGCCATAGAAGTGATTGTTGAGCCGCTGATGGTACTAGGAGACGTGAAAGTGGAGGGAGATAAAGCCAAGTTGACTCTGCAGAGTATGGATGCTACGGAACTCGCTAAACTGACAGCGAGCGATCCTGTATACACAATCATAAAGAAACCGAAGTATGGCACCATAAAGAAAATTATTAGAAGTTCGGGGGAGAAGACGAGTGCGAGGGAGAGGGAAGTAGCGTATTTCACCCACGAAGATGTAAAAGCTGGCGTGATCTATTTCGTGATTAAAAAGAAGTTTAATCAGTTGAACGGGCTCGAGGATAGTTTCCGGTTTCTTTTGGCTGCGTCGATATTTCAACCTGCGGCTGGTGATGTAAAGATTATCATTGGAAGCAGATCGAAGAAGAATTTGCCGGGACCAAATGATCCCGAGAGTCACGAAGGAGTGCCGGTAAGCTATTTAATATCCATGTCTAATATTTTAGATTAGTCTTAGATTTATATTACTTTGTCTTATTACAAAACGTGGTTTACTAATAATAGTCTACTTTAACTATAGTTTGAGAAGAGTTCTAACTCAAAAAGTTCTAGCTTTAACGTGAGACTAATTATCAACAAATTTTTTAATGAGGTCGATTAAATTTACAATTATTTTCATGATCTTTAATTTCCTCCCACAGATATGAGTGCGAAATATATAATCTGTACATATAAATACAATTTAAGTGTCTGCCTTTAATATCGCTATAACTGTCACTTATTGAGCTGAAGAGGTTATTTGCATGCCATCACCATTGAACAACTATTTTTTAAATATTGTCTGTCTGTCCGGGCTAGTCTTCGAAATGGCTAAACCGATTGTAACGAACCTTGACGAACGGATAGAGAGCAATACCAGGAGTGATTTACGCAATATTTTATCCGAAAAATTTATAGATTTTTTTGAGAATCAAAAATTTATAAAATAAATTATCTTTGACGATTATCTTAAATCTAAGTAACGCCACAATCATAGATCCTACCCAGGCGAAGCCAGGGTGAGTAAAATTTGTTTTCACTAAAATGTACTGTTTGTTATTATAATTTTATATTCATGTACTAGCCGACGCGTGCCCACTTCGCTGGGCGTCAAACATTTTTACTTGTGATGAAATTGTCTTGTGTGGTTCTTAGTACTGAGTGTTTAGAATTTATTTTATTTCTTGTTGGTTGCTAGTATGTATGGGGCGAGTATGTCAATTGTTTAAGACTGTGTGGATTTTGATGTTGTGCTTCTGGTAACAAAATGTATTGGTTTTCTGGAGTTCCAACCCGAGATTTAAGCCAACATACAACTGTTCATGGGAAAAATAGTCCTTTTTCAAGTCAATGCCCACCAGAGAATATGTTTGACTCCGAGACTTATTTATCGTGAGGGTAAATGAAATTTTGACTGAAAAACTTTATTAATTTATATTGAAACTTTATTTATCGTGAGGTTAAATTAAATTTTGGGTATCCGCGGAATATGAGCAATTTGTCCCACTGCTGGCCCCGTGAGGATGTACACCACGATTATATTGTGCCGCAACTCTTTTATCAGTAGCCTTGTGCCATTATACATGGTGGGAGGGCTCAAGTTTCCTAACAGCATGATAGGAATGCCGACTTTCAACACAAGGTCTTGAGGTGGTATGCCAGAAGGGCTCAAAGAATTTAAAAATTCTTCAGGATAGTGCACTGTATCCTCAATATTACACACCGTGTCAACTGACTTATACTGTTTGACTTGACCGGGAATTTTCTGTAAAATCAGTTTATTAAGTGGCGAAGCTTGTGAAGTCACTTATTGATTTCACGATGTCTGTCCGTCTGTCCGTCTGTCCGTCTGTCCGTCTGTCCAACGATTATCTCGAGAACGGTTTTGAATTTTCAAATTCTGTTTTCAGCAAACGATTACTGATCACCCAGGCATCTGAACCTCCTATTTTGAAACTGATTGCTCAAGGGCAACCGTTAGAAACCGCTACAAAGCTGATTGCTTCGCCACTTTGCTATGCTGTTAGCTTGCTAGGTTTATTTATTTCATTCACTGTATAGTTTCTGGGTAACAACTCTTATTGCCCATAAACAAAGCCAGTGATAATTTCTTTCCAATACATTTTCAAGACCGGGATATTATGCGTCTATTAGGTGTTCTAATCTATGGACTATGTGGCCCAATCTATCTTCAAGTTAAATTTTAGCGCTACTACTGTTGGAGTTAGGAGAGGTAATTTTTTCTACTCCAAGTTTGAATAGTCGTTGCGATAAATCGTTGTCGTAGTTGTCGCTCAAATGGGCTCTCATATTTGTTCGTAAATTGAGAGTTTCAACGGAACTCCATAAGAGAGATGATTTTAAGCATGCTCTGATGACATCGACGCGTGTTATGCATGCCTTCTGTTATTACAGGCAGTGTTTGTCGAAAATTGTCTTACAAACTTCTGTCTCCGCAAGCAGCTTGGTACGTTTCTTTGACAACTCCGTTCCCTTTCAGTTTTTGAGTCTTGAGTAATGAGGTGGGATCGTGGTGAAGCAAAATTCTGCGATAGAAACACTTTGACTGAGAAAGATAAAGTATACATATTGTTTACTCTTCCCAAAGCAGCATCTTTTTTATTTCAGGTTGCCCAGCGACATTTTCTTTGCGTTTTCTTCGTGAAAATTTTTTGTTAGCTCAAGTATAATACTGGGGAACTTCGTGATAAAACAAATTTCGTCAACGTCCGTTGCTAATTTCATTGTCTCGCGTGTTTGAAATTTTAAATTATCTCTTAAACCATGCAACCAAGTAACATACTATAAAAACAATGTTTTGTCAAAATGACAATTTTTTTCAATATAAATATTTAATAATGTCGTGTTTGAAAAATACATCTAAATTTCACCATATACCTTTTTTACTTGTAACAAAATTCTGCGCCACTACATATCTATATTGCATGCCTTAAGCGAAAGCGCAAGGTATGTTCTATTATCGCCTAAAAATTAAGATTCCAACGTTTTACGAATAAAATCGTATCTAGCAATCATATTATACATATAACTGATATAAAGAGCACACTGTTAGAAAGATAACTGATTGTTGAACTTATTAATATATTTTTTTAAATCGATTAATTGCTATTTTTAAATAAAAAAGGGGTTTAGTGGCTTATGGTGTGGATTTATCATGCCCCCAAGACTTGTAAACACAATAACTTTTGAAAATATCAATTGTTTAACTCCAATCTATTTTTTAATCTCTCTTCATCTATCATGTGGGAAGACATTGAATGTAAATGGCAGTGTAATTTTGTTTTGTTTAGCTATAATTAATTTTTTTCGGCTCCAAAATGGCGAAATTTTCGTTGATTTGGTAGACTTGTATGTAAATTATTTCTGTAAATGGGGAGCTCTAAAGCCACAGAGTAGTTTACTCACACTCAGTTCGGCGTCAATCGCCGTCGTGAGTGGACATTGTTTCGGTTGTTTGCAGCTGCTCAAAAAGATCGCTGTATAAATACACAATATTTGAATAACTAAGTTTCTTAAATACTTGATTATAATAATAATAAGAGATTTTTTATTACAATATTTTAAAAGCACAGAATAAATAATAGTAGTACGTACTAAAAGTAAGTAGTGTCAATTTTTTTGTCATGGGTGACATTTTCAAGGTTTTCGAGGGTGTTGAAACCGATAGGGTTGTCGAAATGTAAATCCAAGGTGGCGGCTGAATTAGGCACCAATTTTTTCATCATGTTGAAGCCGATAGTGCTGTCGAAATGTAAATCCAAGATGGCGGCTGAAGTAGGTACCAATTTTTTCATCATGGGTGTCATTTTCATGGTTTTCGAGGGTGTTGAAGCCGATAGTGCTGTTGAAATGTAAATCCAGGATGGCGGTTGAATTAGGTACCAATTTTTTCATCTTGGGTATCATTTTCGTGGTTTTCGAGGGTGTTGAAGCCGATAGTGTTGTCGAAATGTAACTTCAAGATGGCGGCTGCAATAGGTATCAATTTTTTCATCATGGATTCATTTTCATGGTTTTCGAGAGAGTTGAAGCCGATAGTGCTGTTGAAATGTAAATCCAGGATGGCGCTTGAATTAGGTACCAATTTTTTCATCTTGGGTATCATTTTCGTGGTTTTTGAGGGTGTTGAAGCCGATAGTGCTGTCGAAATGTAAATCCAAGATGACGGCTGCAATAGATATCAATTTTTTCATCATGGGTGTCATTTTCATGGTTTTCGAGGGTGTTGAAGCCGATAGTGCTGTCGAAATGTAAATCCAGGATGGCGGCTGCAATAGGTATAAATTTTTTCATCTCATGGGTGTTATCTTCATGGTTTTCGAGGGTGTTGAAATAGTGCTGTCGAAATGTATTTGAACTACTTTAAAAAAATCCGTATAATCATGTTATACGTAATTTTTTTAATGCGCTTAAGGCATGCCCAATTGGATTTACCAACTTTTTTATTTTATATTTAATACTCAATAGAAGTTGAACATTATATTCAGCTATATCAAACCGTTTAGTCAGCGCACGCCGATAAATCAACGCATCAGCCTGATTTTATCTTTTTTTTTTTTTATTTTTTTATATATTGTTTGATTAACAAATATTATTATTTCACATTTAAAATGTTATTAATCACAATCAAATATATCCTATGTCACTCAGGAATGATGTAGCTTTCTACTGGTAAAAGAATTTTTAAAATCGGTTCAGTATACACACCAACAGCCCTACAACACCTACATTGATATTTTCTAATCGCACAGACGCGTCGCGCAATGGTATGGATGTTATGTAATGTTACGCACCCTGGACATGAATAAATTACTGGTGCTTCGCACAAGGTACATATTCATCCCGCTTTCATCTTCGTAGGATGTTCATGAATTTCATAAAAAAACACGCATTGTATGTTGCAATTTGCAATTTATTCTGTGTCATTTGCTTGCGCATAGGGAAGTCCACGAGTCCGTAATGCAAAAGCGACGGCAAAGATAGACTAGAGATTCAAAATAGAAAAGGCATGTTTAAGTGTTTTTACTATTGTTGACGATATTTTTTTTTTTCGCAAATCAAGATTAATTTTATAAATATAACGCGGTGAAAGTGAAGACTCATCTATTAACTAATTAAGATTTTTCATGGTGTCTTTCAATGAAGTCAGTTCTTTAATATTTTTAAAACCGTAACTTGCCTATTTGCGCGTTTCTTAAGAACCGGCCTTTTAAGTACATACATTAGTTTCTGTTAGTAATTATAAAAGCGATACTGTTTATTTAGTAGTGTTTAACAAAATATATTTTATAAGTAGCATCGTCCTCGGCTTCGCCTGGATGGGATCTATGAGATAATTAGAAAATTAGATAAACGTTTTATACGTGATAGAGCCATGCTGCAGCTACATTACTGTATATTAGTAGTATAGTTGTAACACGAATGGGTCGGCTCGACCGGGGAAGGACCACGGTGTCACACAATACCAGCGTGAAATAGCAGCTTAACACTGCTGTGTTTCGTATGGTGAGTGTAGAGAACTGGAGACTTTTTTTACTGGAAAAGAGGCATTCTATCTTAAAGGCTTATTACATTACACGATTTCTCGGGCCCTGTCCATCGTGTGCCCTGCCTACCAGACAGGGCGCTGCTTATTACACTACGCTAGAAATCGCTTCCTGCCTCAGTTGTTACTCGAACGTGGAAATGATTGCACGTCTAGCATTATGGCGCAGACTTTAACTAAACGTCAAAAAATTGCTTTATTGTTTTTTTAACGTGGTAGAGCCATGCTACAGCTATATTAGTAGTATAGTTGTAGCACGAATGGGTCGGCTCGACCGAGGAAGGACTACGCTCTCACAGAATACCAGCGTAAAATAGCAGCTTAACACTGCTGTGTTTCGTATGGTGAGTGTAGAGAACCGGAGACACTTTTTACTGAAAAAGAGGCATTCCATCTCAGTCCTCACGGGTGACAACGCATCTGCATTTTGATTCGCATACGAGGATAAATGTAGGTGTCTATGGGCCACAGCAACCACTTACCATCGGGTGGACTGTGTGCTCGTTTGTCACCCTATCCTATAAAAAAAAAAACTTTGGCTAGCGGTAACGTGCAAGGCCAAGCTAAAAAAAGGAAGGAAAGTTAAATGTGGATGAAAAAATATTTGCTCCTCAGCGAAAAACTATCGAATATGCAAATAGTCAGCGTTTTGGACCCAACAGACCTACGAAACTATTTTAAAGAGTAGGTGAAAACCAATTCGACGAGTTACTAAGCTTAGTAACGCCTTTAATAGAAAAAAAAATACTTTAATGATTTCTTATATTTACGCGAACACTACACATTGAATAAAACTACTTGTACGGATTCTATCGTCTTTAATTTTTTTTTTTATTAATTCCCGACGTTTCGGATGCTTTACAGCAACCAGTCCCCCGTGACTATGGGTAGTAAAGCACCCGAAACGTCGGGAATTAATAAAAAAAAAGTTAAACGAGATAGAATCCGTAAAATAAGTTTTATTCAAAAGAATACTTTTTTAAGAGAGATTGGTTGTCACTTTACGATTTTGGCCACTGGAAACTCCTATCAAGATTTGTTAAGGCATATCTTTGTAAATGTCGATGACATTGAGAAGAATCTTTTTCTTTAGCGCATGACATAAATACGAGTAATGATTTAGAGAGTAGATCGACATAGTAGAACTTTAAATAAACAAACGTGTAGACTCTGCGCATGCGGCCACGCAACTGAGCTCCCTGCCTCCCTGTCTCTTATTACACTACACGATCCACAGCGCGGCAGGGAAGCAGGGCGGTCGGAACCACTCGGTCGCCCTGTTTAGGGACCCTGACTCCCTGTTTCTTATTACACTACCCTGTCCCTGCGGGCAGGGCCCGAGAAATCGTGTAATGTAATAAGCCTTTTAGTCCTTACAACGCATCTGCATTTTGATTCGCAAACAAGGATACATGCTAAGATTTTTAAAGTATAGGTACGTCACACTCGCTCTAAAATGGCAATACGAAAGTCAAGTAATTGCCCGACTCGCAGTCAGTCGGGCACGCTCTCTCGTCGCGGCTATACCTTCACTACAGCAATGCGTAAATCTTCTAGTTATTCGTGGCAAAAATGTCTTCCTGTGATTTTAGGTGGTGCACAAATTTCACGGTAACTGTTAGAGACAAGAAAAACGTCTCATTAATATTTTGAATATAGATGTTTTGTTCATAATTGATTTTATTATTTCAACAGTAACCGCTAGTGTAAACTTTTGACGCCAGATAGTGTGTTTATTTTCCATATCGGTATGTCACGCACTCGCGCCAATGAGCGCTCAGCAGCAATCAATACGCAACTAATGATGTATATTCAGCTTTTTCTAACGATAGGTATGCCCTATCATTTGTCTCTTTTTGTTAGCGCAACGTGTCACAATAAATAATTGTACGTAGACATAGTACTACCTGCGCCACTAAAATACAATAATGTTAGTGTGTAACCTGTCTATCTTTTTTAATACGTCTTTGGATACATGTCGATGTCTATAGGTCACAGCAACCACTTACCATCGGGTGGACTGTGTGCTCGTTTGTAAAAAAAAAACATTCATTTAATCAATTCTTTTTCATAATAAATTAGGTTTTCTGCTAAAATATAAACTTGATTCCCCTGAAATTGCTCTCTTCCTATTCGTCAAGTTTCATCACTATCGGTTTAGCCATTTCATAGATTAGCCCCGCCCCGACAGGAAAAACATTTAAAAAAATATTATCTATAATAAAAATAAGTCATTTCAATATCACAGACAGTCACTTTCATTTTTTTTATGTATTGATAATAGAGACACTGAAGTCCATTGTATGGCACCTATTAATTTATTTATAAGTAGGTACCTATTTATATTATAAGACATATGCATTCGAGCCGTCAGTAAGTAGTAAAAAAAAATATTTTCTCCAGGTGAACAATAGTGAATCAACCTCATACTACATGACGATAGTGATGGCGCTATCTGGCGTCGTGTTGGCCATCGTGGTGATAGCAGGCTTGATCAAATGCCGTCGCTACATGGCACACGAGAGGAACGCACTCGTGAAAATACACGGCCAAGGTCAAGGGGCGGTCGCTCCTATTCCACTGCCGAGGCCACCTGAACACTTGATGCCTTCCCCCTCTCAGGCAACGCCGCCTATAAAACGGTAAGTCTAACTTACAAACTCAGTAATAAACCATAAAAATCATTGCATTAAAATAAAAAGGATAATATCTATGGATCGTTTTGAATTGTGTTGCAGTGTTGAAGTTTGATCGACGTGGATTAAATTTTAATAGATTTATTTCATTGTTTAAAATTACATTTTTCATTTACTTTAGATATAAGACCAGTAAACTAAAATAGCCGGCCAAGTGCGAGTCGGATTCTCGCATGTAGGGTTCTGTAACATCGTCAGACATGTCTCTAGGAGGAAGCCGCTTTTAATTTTTAATTTATTTTTATTTTTATTATTTATTGTTATAGCCACAACAGAAATACGCGTTCTGTAAAATTTTTAACTATGTACCTATTACGGATCATGGGATACAGCCAGCCGACAGACGGACGGACGGCCGGACGGACGGTTGGACCGTACTTAGTAATAGGGTCCCGTTGGTTACCCTTCGAGTACGGAACCCTAAAAGAGAGAAATTCAATTGAATAATGCGTTGCTAGTTTTAATAATTGCGAATCTTGACGGAAAAAGGGTATGGTGACACACACATACTTTGATTTCTATAATTTGCGTCTCTTATAATCACCATAAGGAGTGCTATCACCCAAAATGTATCAATATCCAGTGTAGCCAACTCTACAGTTTTAGCTGTAGATCTGTAGTGTTTTCAGACGCTGCAGCCCATCTCCTTATATGTTTCCCTTTGTCGCCTCTTACGACACCCACAGGATGATATGGGGTATTGGATATTACACCGCTACTACTCAGTAAATTTTATATACTTACATATATTTTTACTTATATGCTATTTCGGGTAGCTAATATTTAAATTTTATCGAAACACCTGTGTATTTTAGTAGTTTTTGTCAACAGATCTCAGTTCTCTATACGAGGGCGGCACTGAAAATTTCGGGAATCAAGGAAGTGACACAACATTACTATTTAAAAATGTATTTATTGCTTTTCGAAGTATTCTCCGCGAAATTTGACACATTTTTACATACGATGGAACCAATCATTGAAGCAACCATTCCATTCGGAAGTTGGGGTCTCCATAATGGCCGTTTTGTAGGCGTCCACAGCTTCTTCTGGTGGTGAAAATCTCTGTCCACGCAATTTATTCTTTATTTTAGGGAAAGTATAGAAATCATTAGGGCTTAGGTCGGGCCTGTACGACGGATGGTCTAATAATTCTATGTTTTCTTGCTCTAAAAACTCTTTTGTTCTGTGTGCGGTGTGAACTCGCATTGTCGTGATGGAGGATGATCCGGCGGTTGCAGTTCTCTTTACGGAGTTCAGAAATGACCTGTGGCAAACAAATGCTAGCATACCATTCTGCATTAACCGTTCTTTGTCCCTCAAGAGGAATAGTCGTAACATGGCCGGTTTTGGAGACAAACGTGGCTACCATATTTTTTGCAACACTCCGTGAACGAACAATTTACTCGTGACTGGTTTTTTGTTTCGGGTTCGTACGCGTATATCCAGGATTCGTCACCTGATGCGATGTTGTAGACAGCATTTGAGGATCCTGCGTGGAATCTTTCGAGAGTTTTGACGCACCCAAGTAACGCGAGCCGCTTTTTGCTCTTCACAGAGTGAATGCGGTATCCATCGGGAAAACAACTTTTTTACACCTAATTATTCATGCAAGATTATTTGTATTTGACTCACGCCAATGTCTAAAGTTGCCTGAATTTCGCGGTATGTCACATATCGATCTTCCTCAATCAGCTTACGCACAGCATCAACGTTTTCTTGGGTGACTGCAGTTTTTGGACGACCTTGACGGGGATCATCACTGAGCTTGACACGTCCACGTTGAAATTCAGCAAACCAACGATAAATTGTGGTTTTGGATGGGGCTTCATCACCAAATGCAGAAATCATCCGGTCAACCCACTGTTTTTGTGTTAAACCACTTCGAAAGTCATAATAATCATCGCTCTTGAATTTTCTCGAGTCAATTCCATTTTCTCAACGACTAAACAAGTTTGACAAAACCTTGTGACAAGACCGAGAATCTTTTTTTTAAATAAATAAATGGTATTCGATTTTTAAAACCAAGGAGTTTTCAATTAAAAAAATTTTAATATGATGTTAACAGTGGAAATATTCCATTCCCGATACTTTTAGTGCAGCCTATGTAGCTCTTTTCAAACTATTATGCAGAATGAATAAAAATAATTTTACGGATTCTATCGCGTTTAATCTAATTTATTTTCATTTATTTTAATTCACAACGTATCCCTGTGATCGTGGATACTGTAAAGCAAGATGGAGACGGACTGTGGTGTTTAAAGTCCCGATGTCTTAGCAAAAATAAGTAAAATTAAACGCGCTAAAATTCGTAAAATAAGTTTTATTTAATATGTAGTATTCGTGTAAATATAAGAAACCACCATTCTGTTATTCTCGGTAATAATCTTGGCAATATTGAAGACGTCGCACTTAATTTTCATCTCGTGTGTAGATATGTTCCATCAGAGCAGTCGGTGACCACTGGGGCAAGCACGCCGCTGCCATCTGCTGGCAGTGTGGCTTGTAAGGTCACTCCATTGGCTGACGCGCCCCCAGATATTAACGCGCGGTACCCATACGGTGCCGATGTAAGTCAAACTTTTTATCTGTTTAGGTTTCATTATCATCATCATCATCATCATTACAGCCCTTCACAAGTCCACTGGTGAACATAAGCCTCCCCTAAGGAATGCTACAAAGCACGGTCTTAAGCCATTTGCAGCCATCGACTTCCTGCATGTCGGTGGTGGTGGAAAACATCACGAAGTAAAATGTACGTGAGTAAGTACATGTTACAACCGTGCTGGAGTGACGCTTCAGTTTTTTTATGGTCACAACACGAACGGGTCGTCTCAAACTGGAAAGTCCACGCTCTCACAAAACTTGAGAGATAGGATAGTTTTTATCCCGATAACTGACCCTCAATTTTTTGTTTATTTTTTTTGGGAAAGCAAATGGTCGTTCGGAAAGGGCAGAACAACATCTGCCTGGTCAGCTAGTATATACAACGTGTCCCAAAATTCAACGATAAGCCAACACCGGAGGATAGACCTGCCCCGGACTAATCGGGTAAAAAAAGAAAAAAATATATATCCCAATTATATTTTAAGTTATATAAAAAAAATGAAATTCTTCAGAAATTGAGACCGTTTATGATATTTTTCACTACCATGACCACAATTTTTTAAATATTTTTTTCTTTTTTTTTTATAGGCAACCTGAATAGTACTGCTATCTACCACAATTCTTAAAAACTCCAGAATAACTCTTGTTTTATCACGAAAATTAATGAAACTTATTTTATTCCCTAAATTTTTTGAAGACTTTTACTTTTAACCAAATTTAACTTATCGTGGTGTAAAAAAAAAGTATGAACACTAGTATGGCAAGTTTTTTTAAAAATTGACGCAACTAACCAATATTCCAAAATGGTATAATAATCTAGGAAAACAAGTTATAAAAAAATATGGGCCTATTATTTCTTAACAGGGGCCAAATTCCTTAAATTGTAATTGTCAGTAATCACTTTTACTACATGCCCAAAATGGGTTCCTGTTACAATTTCTAGGAATTCGAATGGGGCATTAATACCTTAGATGTTAGAGAGAGATAGATAGATAGAGATATTTACGTTAAAAAGAGACAACAACAGGGCAGGTAGAGAAGCTGTTATTATTCTCAGCAAGTCGGTTCAGTACGCTCTGCTCCTTTGTTTACTGCGCACCGTACCCAATTCAACTTACGTGGCCCTCGTACATACTATCGACTTTTGGCTTGGCTTTTTGGACTGGAATCGACCTGCAAACTTAACTGACCTGGCATTATTTGGACTGGAAGTGATCTGCAAACTGAACTGACCTGGCATTATCTTGGACTACGATTGTGTGTTTTGTGATTTAGAGTTCTGGCGCATTTTGGACTGTTTGGCGTTTAACATGCCGCAACCGTACACACCACAGGAATACGCTAATATGCATTTAATCTATGGAGAATGCCGATGTAATGCTAACGCTGCTAGCAGACTGTATCCATAAAGATACCCAAATGCTCAAAGATATCCTGATTATCGAGTGTTTATTAATGTGCATCAAGCGTTTTCGGAGGGTCGTATGCCATCCAATAGGAGCAGCGCTGGAAGACCTAGATTGGATCGTGATGAAGAAGTTCTCAAGGAGATAGAAAATGACTCGACTACTTCGGTACGTGCCATAGAAGAAGCTACAGGAATCCCGAAAAGTTCTGCACATCGAATATTAAAACGTCACAAGCTTCACCCATATCACTACAGGCGTGTGCAGACGTTATTACCGCGGGACTATCCGCTACGGGTCACATTTTGCCGTGTAATGCTGCAAAGGCACAGTGAAGATCCCCACTTCCTAGACAAAATTCTATGGTCGGATGAAACAACGTGCAAGAAAGATGGGTATTTAAATCTTCACAATCTACATAGTTGGAGTAATGAAAATCCACACTTGATGAGACAAGACAAATCCCAATATCAATTCAAGGTTAACCTATGGACCGGCATATTAAATGGAAAAGTAATTGGGCCCTTTGAGTTACAAGGAAACTTAGATGGCAATAGTTATTTAAACTTTTTACAAAATGACTTGCAAGAATTGTTAAACGACGTGCCCTTAAGTGATCTTCAAAACATGTGGTTCCAAAATGATGGTTGCCCAGCACATTATGCCCGTCCTGTGCGAGAATATTTAAATCAAGAGTATCCAGGGCGTTGGATCGGGCGACTTGGTCCTATCTTATGGCCACCCCGTTCACCCGATTTGAACCCCCTGGACTTCTTCTATTGGGGTTGTCTTAAAAACAGGGTCTACTCAAAACCCATTGTGACATTGGAGCTTCGTCGAAATATCACTCAGGCTGCTGATTACATTAATAGCAGAAGATATGCAAGACAAATAAAACGATCATTTTTAAGGCGATGTCGTGCATGTATTAATGCTGGTGGCAAACAGTTCGAACATTTGCTATAATGTTAATAACTTAATAAATTACACGTGAAACTGTTTGTACCATTTGTTTTGAAATATTAAACATTTTTCAAGAAATAATACTTTTATTACACCCGACCGTCATTTGGCCCCTGTTAAGAAATAATAGGCCCATATTTTTTTATAACTTGTTTTCCTAGAGTATTATACCATTTTGGAATATTGGTTAGTTGCGTCAATTTTTAAAAAAACTTGCCATACTAGTGTTCATACTTTTTTTTTTACACCACGATAAGTTAAATTTGGTTAAAAGTAAAAGTCTTCAAAAAATTTAGGGAATAAAATAAGTTTCATTAATTTTCGTGATAAAACAAGAGTTATTCTGGAGTTTTTAAGAATTGTGGTAGATAGCAGTACTATTCAGGTTGCCTATAAAAAAAAAAGAAAAAAATATTTAAAAAATTGTGGTCATGGTAGTGAAAAATATCATAAACGGTCTCAATTTCTGAAGAATTTCATTTTTTTTATATAACTTAAAATATAATTGGGATATATTTTTTTTTCTTTTTTTACCCGATTAGTCCGGGGCAGGTCTATCCTCCGGTGTTGGCTTATCGTTGAATTTTGGGACACGTTGTATATACAATATGGGTGTAGAGAACCAGAGACCCTTTTTATGGTAATGAGACACTCATAGTCCTCAACAGCACATCTACATATTAGCCCTTTATCGAGGATACCTTAGGCTATTCTAAGGTAGACTGTTAAATAATGTATCACATTAAGTCTTACCATTCTACACCATTCTACGTACAAGTTCATGGGAAGTTATGGATTCAAATCCCAACTGATTTAAATATGAGAAATACTTGGTTAAAACTGGCAAGAAGAGACCCGAAGGCATTGTTTACAAAATCTAATCTATACTTCTGTGAAGATCACTTTATGTTCTGGGCATATTGTACACTTAACTAGAGCTGCACATGCAGCCTATTGTGTCATCTCTGTAAGATTCCCTTCCGTACCTGAAAATAAGAATTAGGTTATGTGAGATTGTAATCAAAGATAAGCATAACTATGTACTATCAAAATACACTCTAACCTGTTATTGTATAAATAAAAGTTCGTAACAGGTACTTATATTGATGTTGTAACATTCTTCAACTCGGCAGAACAAAAATCTGGATTGCATGCAAAAATTTTTGTCACCATCAATGTATCTATCCTTGGTAAATTAGTACTTTCTGCTTTTACGAATCCTTCTTCCATGATGCCTTTTCAATAACATTCGGAATAAAACTCAACAATCGTAATGATAACTTGAAAAATTTCGTAATAGCACAGTACATTAGCTAAGTTATATATTATTCTCTTAACCAGTGACGTCACGACGGTATCTAATATGGCGGACAGCGTTTTGCAGATTTGAGGCACAGATAAAAAAATATTTTTGAAATTGAAAATATAAAATTTATAATGCATTTTTATAAATAGAAATCAATATTTCTCGTTTACTTTTGACAAAATTTATCGTATAAATATATTTTTTGATTTTTTAAATGGTGTAAAGTATCCTATTGTTTATGTATGCACTTGTAGGCCGAAGAGTGGAGCAATTACGAAGCGAGCGAGTCTGCGTATGCGGGAGTAGCGGTTGCAGCGAATCCGATGCTGCGTCGCAACCAATACTGGGTCTGACCCGCGTATACGAGCACGCTGCCCAGGATGAGCAGGCCGGGTAAGTATTCACCACTTACCTTAGACTTTTAGAAGGGCGACGAAACGAACAGTGCACTTGATATTAAATGGATGCTATCTATCCTACATCTAAGTTGTGCATCAAAAATAGATGCGTTGCCTACCATCCCAAGAAGCACAAGCGTTATGAACATCAATATACCAGCTCACATAGAACTTAAAGTTCTTTTAAAAGCGTATAAGAGTGTCGAAAAGATATTGTATCCTTATATGAGTGGTTTATGACTTATTATACAGCTCAAGCTGTATAAAGTCTGTATTATGCGATCTAAGTAAGCTTAGGGTTCTTAATCGGAATATGACTACTCTAGTATACAACTATTTTGTAACACTTCAATCTGATTTTATCAGTAAAGTTGTATAGAAGCTGATTTTTTGCTGTCCCTTGCGTTTACAGCTCTAAGTGTTATTATAGTATCACAAAAATCTTATTTCTAAATAATGGTGTATGCAAACTTTCTTCTAAAATTTATTCTTTTGGTGGCATTGTACACTTTTATAAATACAGTAGTTTTATGACAAAAAAAAAAAACAAAAGACAGCCGTAGTAAAACTTAAATCACCATTTTGTATAACTTGCGTGTTTATATTGTGCTAGTGAACAAAATAAATTTCTTAGCATATGTGGAAAAAAGAAAAACATTTCGTGCAGTAAAAAGATCATGTTAAATCTAAATTAATTTTATCCAACACTGTTCCCAAGACCAGGTTTTTCATCATTTATACGTATCTCTAAAGATAGTTAAAAATTATATGTTATAAGCAATAAAAATACCTATCATTGAACTGATTAAAAACCAATGGCTGCACGATATAATCCATAACATACATAGTACAGCTACTAAGACTATAAGACCCTCGAAATACCGTTTAGGCAGTTTAGAATATGGCGTAATTTTAAGACCCATAAAACAAAATTTAAAATATTGTTGCGCGCCACTATTAATGTTTTGTACATGGCAACACTAGCTACACTAGCGCCCTCTAGTGTTGAGTAGCAGAACTAGGAGAGTCATGATCCTTCCAGATATTTCGGGACCGATATGTACTCGAACATTCTAGATGTCGCTACATTAGAAGGTTCTGGAAACTATCTGAGGCCCTATATAAGGCCGATAGACCACGACCGAGGCAGTATTGAATTGGCGATACAAGACTACAAGAGAATACTTCGAAGCGAAATAACTGCGAACTAAAGTGATTGTGTTTTATTATTGGTGTGGTTTTAGATTGTAATTAGTGTTGTGTAATTAAAGTGTCAATTTTGGTAATTCAATCGGCAGTTTTTAATTGTCTTGAACCCAAAGCTCGTAACAATTGATGTCAGAAGTGGGATCAAATCATGCCGATTTTATCAAAGGACGACATGGAGGGTATCCGTACCCGAAGTCAACGCCAGCTGGGGGCGGACTAGAGACGATTTGGTAATGCAACGCCGCAAACGTCGGAGGGCAAGCTGCTGACCACGGAGGCCGGCCCGTCAGCAGCTTCTGCATCTGCAGCACCTGACTTAGGTGCTCTGATGATGATGCTGCAGGATCAGGCTCGCCGACAGGAGGAACAGGCCCGTCGGTTGGAAGAGCAGCTGCAGCGCGGACAGGAGGAACAGGTCCGTCGGTTGGAAGAGCAGCTGCAGCGCGGACAGGAGGAACAGGCCCGTTGCTTGGAAGAGCAGCTCAAACGCTATAAGGAAGAGCAGATGCTCCTCATGAAGGACCTTCACGCTACCTTCGGAAAAGAGATAAAGGAGGTGAAGGATAGGGTTGCTCAATATGAAAACCGCCTGTCGGAAGCTGAAACCCGAATCGACCAAGTGTACAATCGGGTTGACAATGTGATGGATGACGTGAAGAAAACGCTGGACGACCTCAATCTTGGAGATGGGATTACAGCTCCCGTGGTAGCTACAACACCTTCGCTGGGTGGATTATTCAAAGCGCCGCCGTTCGACGGGACTTCTTCCTGGTCGGCCTACAAAATCCAATTCGAGGCTGTCATGAAGGCGAACGGCTGGAATAAAAGTCAGGCCATGACTGCTCTCACCCTAGGCTAGCGCGACCAGGCCCTAACTGTTCTGGAAGCTCTCGGTAAGGAAGTGACTTACGAGCAGCTCCTTGAGGCATTGGAGGCGAGATATGGCGACGCTCACCTGGAACACGTCTTTCGTGCACAGCTCAAAGATCGCGTGCAACGCAGTAACGAAAACATGCAGCAGTGGGCCCTTGAGGTGGAGAAGCTGGTTCGGAAAGCATACCAGTACCTGCGCTCATTGTAGGGAACCTGGTGCAGACATTCATCGACGGCATCTGCGACCTTAAAGTAAGAGCTGCTGTGAGGCTCGGGCACCACGAGACGCTTAAGGATGCGTTGGGCCATGCACTGGAGGTGGAAGCCGTGCACTTAAGCAGAAACATTTAAATAAGAAAGTTAGTTGCTGAAAGAACAAATGTAGTGATCAGTCACCATTCTTTTTCACCGATATTTACTTACCATATTTAGTATTTTGTATTATTTTGTTATTTTGCTAGCGCGGCAATTATTTGATAGAAAACATAATAACATAATAACATAACATAAACACTCACGCCTGTCACCCAGAGGGGTAGGCAGAGACTACGGACTTCCATTTGGCGCGATCCTGACACACCTCTCTCGCCTCTTTTACATCCATATATCTACGCATACACGCTCGTCGGTTATGGGTACTCCTAATCTGGCCCATTTTTAATGTATCGCCGATTTGGTCGATAAACCTTCGTCTAGGGCGTCCCTTCCCGACCCTGCCGTTCACTTCCGCAACATAAATTTGCTTTGTCACTCTTTCCTCGTTCATTCTTTCTACATGACCAAACCACCGAAGCATTCCTTTCTTAATCCTTGTCACAACGTCATCTTGCAGACCACACTTTTCTCTTATCACACTATTTCTCACCCTGTCATTCAGATCCAGCCCTAGCATACTCCTTAAGGAACGCATTTCTACAGCATTTATTCTACTCTCATGCTTCTTCTGCCAGACCCAACTTTCACTACCATACATTAAAGTAGGGACTAACACAGCATTATGAATTGCCATACGTGCCTTAGTTGACACATTCTGACTCCTCATAATAGCGTGTAGAGCCCCATTCACTCTATTTCCTGCGTTCACTCGTCGTTCTATATCCTTATCATATCTACCATCCCTGCTAAATAAACATCCCAAATATACAAATTCATCCACTTGCTCAATCAACTCCCCTTCTATTCTTATTTCACATAAAGTTTTACTTTCTTCTCTTTCAAAAACCATCACTTTCGTCTTACTTGCGTTCACTTTCATACCCCTTTCTTTCAATGACCAATTCATTAAAGTAACCATCATTTGCAACTCGGCCGCCGACGATGCAAATATGACTGATCATCGGCGTACAAAAGGCATTTGACGGTTGACTCACCCATTCTCAACCCACATTCTTCAACTTTCAAAGTTTGCAAACAACTGTCCATAAATAAGTTAAACAGCCACGGGGAAGCTACACATCCCTGTCTGACACCTTTATGAATGCCAAACCAGTCCGAGTAGACCCCGTTGATCCTGACACAAGCACTAGAGTCCCTATAAAGAGATCTTAATGCCTGTATCAAGCCAGCGCTCAACCCAAATGAGTTCAGTGTTTGCCATAACACATTCCTGTCCACTCTGTCATAAGCCTTTTCCAAGTCCATGAACGCACAAAAAACTTTCTGGTAGAAAACATTTATAAGTTTACCGTAAATATAATTTTGAACTTTCTTCAATCCGAATATAATAGTAATATGTTAAATATATGTTAAAACATTAATGTCGCTATCATTGAATAAACGTTCTTTTTGATTTATATTCATTTATGATTCCCATTAAAAAACCAATTTAGAGTGTGTGTCTTTATAAGTTATTTATAAGATAATATCGGTAGTATATTAGTATATTTTCCTTGCACACCAAAAAACAGCTACAACTCAATAGAGGCTGTAATACAGCAGTTATACAGCCTCTATTGTGCTTGTACAGCTACTGTACAGCGCTACTTATGCATAAAGCTGCATAATTTGTGCCAATTTTTTACTTACAAGAACTGTATAAGCGCTTATACAGCTTTTGTAAAGCCAGAAAATACAGCCTCTAGTATAAAAACGAACTTCAATACAGCTTGCATGCTGCTTGGGATGTTCCTAATGGATGGCAACATGGATACCCGTCTCTATCCGCAATGAAGACTACAATGGAATGGAAATACAGCAGCGTTATGCTGCTATTTTACGACTGTATATTTTAGATGTGGCAGAACCACGCTGAAGCTTATAGAACATAAAAGAAAAAGCTGAAGCTTAAAGAACATTATGGTTGTAGCACGAATTGTTCGGTTAGACCGAGGGAAAAACCACGTTCTAACTTGGCAACTAAAATAGCAGCTTAATGCTGCCGTGTTTCGTGTAGTGACTCGGAGATTCTTTTCACTGGAAACGAGGCATTCCATGTTAGTCCTCAGGGCTGACAACGCATCTGTATTTTGATTTGATTTGAGTTGAGGAGACAAATATATGTCTATGGACCACAGCATCTCCTCATCATCAGGTAGACTGTGTGCTCGTTTGTCACTCTTATTCTATAAAAAAGCAGTTTATGCTACTGTTTTTCGTATGGTGAGTGTAGTGAACCGGGTAATCTGTACTGATAATTTCTTTTCTCTTAGATCCCTCCATTTCATTCCTTATTAGTCCTCAGTGTTGAATACGCCTTACATATGCGTTGTCATCTCTATGCCTTGACTACAATTCCGAACAGGCTAAACATATGCCTGTGCTGCTGGCACCAGGGCTGCCAGTACAAAATTTTAGCTTGCTCCCTTACTTTTATCCTTTTTACAGATAACTAATTTATTTTAGCTTTATCGAGAACAAACGTAGGTGTCTATTAG